AGAGTCTCAAAACATACTTCCAAGCTCTGCTTTTTTTTCCCCAAGCTCTCTTTCTACGGAAATGGTAGTCTTCAAACCAAAGGAACATACCAAGAAAAAGGCATGCGATCGAATTCCTAGTAAAGATGGCTGACTAAACATATACATCTATGTTTACACCCTTCAAAGACGACAGATTACAGACAGGAGATTTTTAAAAAATTCACAAAGATGGTATTCAGACCAAGAGCAATTAATCAGTACAGGGTTTTCGTGGGATGACGAAAATGTTCTAATATTGGATAGTAGTGATGGTGATAAAATTTTATGAATACAATAAAATGTTAGAAGGTGGTCAAAGATTTAGCAGGTTCAAGAAAGCAGAAACGTATGCTAGCAGTGGGGAAAAGCCCCAACCTGTTCTCTTTAAGTGGAAATGAAGAAGGGTGAGGTGCTAGAATAAGGAGAACTGATATAATGTCTGTTTAAGAAGCAATCACATCAGACCTCCACCCACCTCTACCCAGCCATGCAATGGTCCCTCTCACTCCAGTAAAACACCTAAAGCTTTAGTGTCTCTGCAGAGAATAAAACAGAGCATGTCTAGATGAGGGAATTTCACATACTGCTGAGGGCATTCTGTGAACGAGGACATTATACTAGATGCTGAGACTCCTAATTCTCCCCAAACCCTCTTTCTCAATCCCAGAATTAGCAGACAGGTCTTCACAGTACAGGCAGGAAACCAGTCAAGACTTCCTTAGGGGAATCTATTCAGCTCAAGGACATAGGCGGAAAATGCTAATCTTGGGGAATCTCTAACGAAAAGACCCAGCCAGATCATTACAGTGAAGTCAGAGTCAGTAAGTTCCATTCCAGGACACAGAGCTTTCAACTCACTTTTTAGGTCACCTCTTCCCCACCCCTCAAATATAAACTAACTACAGATTACCAGACATCTACATAAAGTCTCTAATCTGAAAGCAGAGAACAAAACAAACAGAAAATCAATTTGGAGGACATAAATCCTATGCAAGCAGAAGGAAACCTTTTAACATGAGTTAATTCAGAAAAGATCTACTCTTAGGATGCAGAGCTTTGAGGATCCCAACACGGGAGAGAAACAAAAGAGATCTTAAGAATGATGGAGATCCCTGGCTGGGCGCGGTGGCTCACGCCTGTAATCCTAGCACCCTGGGAGGCCAAGGAGGGCAGATTGTTTGAGCTCAGGAGTTCAAGACCAGCCTGAGCAAGAGCAAGACCCCGCCTGTACTAAAATTAGAAAGAAATTAATCGGCCAACTAAAAATATATAGAAAAAATTAGCCAGGCATGGTGGCGCATGCCTGTAGTCCCAGCTACTTG